AGAGAGATGCTGTTAGCCATCCAAACAGATGAGTATGAAAAATATTTCCAAGAATGGAAACACAGATAGGACAAAGATAGTGAGTGTAATGACAAGGTTGTTTTGTAAAAAAATTAAATACATAACTTTGAAAAATAAATTCTGGGATATTTTGGATACACCTCGCATACTAAGGGAACAGTGTGGTTAGTATCACAGATAATAGGAGTGGTGTAGAATCTTGGGAGAGTTGGACATTTCATGCATCTTAAATCTTCACCTTATTGGTACTCATTTTGTAGTAATCTTTCAAAAGTAAATTATTTTTGCTACCATATTCTAGGACATATCAACACCTATACTTTTGAAACTTCCTTATTCACTGCCCAGCCTTCATTTTCTTATGTGGCAAACGGAAAGATCAACATTTTAGGTCCGGTTCCCTTAGACCTCCAGGTGCCACCTTTGCCCTTTAACACTTTTAAGAAGTCCCGTGTAGCAGATTTGTTTAGTGCAACACTGCTTGAGTTTTTGACTGCTGCTCCAGGGGGTGTTGATTGTGGATCTAAGTCAAAGGACATCCTGAACTTCAATCCTTTCTTGGCTTACCACGATGCTGTCTGTCGGGGCAGTTGTGAGGCTTTTGGTTTTATTCGCGTTTAGCTGTAATCCATACTGAGAGCTGTACTCCTTCACCGTCACCAGTGACTGCTTCGAGTCTTCAATACTTTCTGCAAGCAAAATCTCTGTATCACAGGTTGTGACTAAGTTATGAGTTGTTCTTTAAATTTAACCCCTCAGGTTTATGGTGAATAGGTATACATATGGGTCTCCTGTAAAGAAAACATCATTTTCTGTCCATACTGCAAGTATATCTCTGACATATTGCTCTATACCAATGAACATTAAATAAATGATTGGATTTCTTGTGTTCAAACACAATCTTCAGTAGCATAAGTGTTAATGCAATGGTAGCCTTCTTACAACTGTTTAGATCTCCTAGTTGAAGTTAAACCTAAACAGTACCTCCAAATTGAAAATTAGATTGTGCTTCAATTTGAAGTTCTTTGATGGCCAGCAAACAGTGATAGAAGAAACTGTAGCACTCGTTGCGTTGCTTTCCCCAAATAAATAATAAATATTTGAGTTGCATGATGTGTTGTAATATAAAGAGCTGAAAAATTACAGAAAGTAAATAGAGACTCATTGAAAATGAGCTAAAGGAAACAATTCATAAATTTTAAAACATGTGTTCTTATTTGTGTGTGTTGTAGTGATGGTTATGTATCGAGAGAGATACAAATTTTAACAGCTGGTCTTTTCCCTTTGGAACTCACAGTTTTGTTTTACCATAAGTTCTAAAACTTACAACATAAAAATGAATGCATACACACATGACTGCACTACAACAATAATATAACATTTTAACCACAAGAGAACGCAATGCCAAAGATATGCCAAATGTGACATTTAGAAAATATGGGAAGAAAATGTTATTGATTTTAAATTTATTTTCAATATGCACTTGCTGTTATTCCCGAATGGCTACGTGCACACCTGCTAACAAAAGGGTTAGCTGTTTGAGACTACACAGAGGTATCTTAGAAGAAATTTTTGGTGACCTGCTCCCTCAAATTTGGCCTTTAGCAACCCTACTCAATGCAATTATAATCTGCATCGTTTTATTGTAGCACTAGCCCAAACCAAAGACCAATTTCATGAATATCTTTACATATATTGGGTTCTCCTGGCTAGTCCTAACTCAGGTGCATTTCGATTTCTATCAATATTTTCAGGGAACCATGTAATCAAGCTTCTTTCAAATAATATATTTGTTTCCCTTTTTTTACAGCAAAACATTCACTCTTTGAAAATAACAATTTTTTTAATTAGCCCAGATTTTTCTAAAGTGTTCTTGCTTTAAAGCAAGAATTCCTTAAGCTTTTCTTAGAAAATGGATTCCTTCATCTAATAAATTCAGTAACACTGAGTCTCATCATCTTTTCTTTGAGCTCATCGTGAACACAAGCCTTCTGAGATATCAGAGATGATTTCTATTTTGCACATATTTAAGATTACCGGTGGCTAAATTATTTTCAAACTTACTTTCACTCTTTGAAAATAGTGGCATGCAGACACATTTTAAACACCCCTCTTCTAATTTGTTGCTTGGTTAACACTGGTATTTTGAGAATAATCATGGTAGAGTGATTTTGTCACCTTAAACTTCCAATTTTAACATTTCATAATTGCAAAAACATTAGCATACTATTTTTATATATGTGCAGATACTCTTTTATATTTAATATGTCAATTATATTTATACTATAGGGAGCCTTCGTGGCGCTATGAAGTAAGTGTGGGGCGGCTAGCCATTAGATCCGTAGTTCAAACACATCAACTGCTCCAAAGCAGAAAGATGAGGCTCCTGCCCCTATAAAAAGTAGCAATCAACTAGATGACAGTGGATTTGATCTCCATATAGAGAGGTTTAGTAAAAGCATACTTATTTAATCTGTATGATATATGTTGGGCATATCATCAGAGTAGCTGGATTATATGAAAAAGAATTCATCATCAGGATTGGAGGAAGGCTTATTAATAGCCTTTGTTATGCAGAAAACACAACCTCATTTGCTGAAAGTGAGGAGGATTTGCAGTACTTGCTGATGAAGATCAAGAATTAGAGCCTTCAGTATATATTTTGGCTCAATATAAAGACAGCAAAGTCCTCACAACTGGACCAATAGATTACATCCTCACAACTGACCAATAGGCAACATCATGATAATTGGAGAAAAGGTCAAAGTTGCCGAGGATATTTGTCATGCTTGGACCCATATCCAGTGCTCATGGAAGCAGCAGTCAAGAGATCAAAAGACGAGATAGATTAGGTAAATCTCCTGCACATGATCTCTTTAGAGTATTGAATGCAAGGATGTTACTTTGAAAATGAAGTTTCATCTGACCCAAGCCATGGTATTTTCAATGGTCTCATATGCATGTAAGATTTGGGAGGTAAGGGAGGCCGAAGAAGAATTGATGCGTTTGAACTGTGGTGCTGGAGAATGAAGAAAATACCATGAATTGCTCAAAGGTCAAACCGCTCTGTTTTGGAAGAAGTAAGGCCAACGTTCTCCTTAGAGGCCAGGATGGGAAGGCTTCATCTTCCTTACATTGGAAAAGTGGTCAGGAGAGACCTGGAGAAGGACATCACGCTTGGGAAAGTGGAGGGGCAGCAAAATAGAGGAAGGGCCTCAAGGAGAGGGACTGACACAGTGGCCGCAGTAATGGACTCAGGCCTAGGAGCAATTGTGAGGTGGGCACAGCACTGTGCCGTGTGGGGCTCTGCTGTGCACACAGTCGGTATTGGTTGGAACTGATTGGATTGTACCTAAAAACAACAACAACAGAACAAGCATTTAGATTACTAAAAATTTCCTTTTGTAATTGGTATTCACTTGCTCTGCATTCTATGTGCACTCACTATATGAAATATAAACAAATTTATTATTATTTAATGATATGTCTTTGTGAAAAGATTGCTGTCCTTTAAGTAGTCTCTCTGCACATTTTGAATTCTTTATTTTAAAGAGGTGTGTAACCACATGTATGTTGTTGTGTGCCTTCAGGTTGGTTGTGATTGATAACTGAATATCCCCACAAATAATCAAAATTGTTATGAAAGGACAAAAAAATTGAAATTGTCCAGGAATTCCTCTTAGTAGGGTACACAGGGTCTCTACATGGATTGAGTTTCTGGTAAGTCACTGCTGTCTATCATTTGGGGATATAAATAGCCCTGCAGAGCTATTGCACACAGAGAGCATTGCAAAGCTGATTATGGCAGATGTAGTTAGGTTAAAATGTAATACCCTATCATTTAATCCCCCCTTTGAGCCATTTTAAAACTATTTCAGTTTGTAATATTTGAGTGAGGTTTTTCTGTGTCTTGTCTAGTCATCAGTGTTGGGTGTTTTTGTTTGTTGGCTTTGTGTGGTTTTGTATGGTTGTGTTTTGTTTGCATGATTTCTGCATATGGAATCCAGGGCAGCGAGAACTATAGAAACAATAACTGTACTGGGGCAATGTGTATAAAACAATGAGTATCAGAAGAAAATGTCCTAACATTAATTGTGACGATGATTCCACAAATCTCCTTAATATGATTGAAGAATTCAATGGTTTGATATGTGAAAAAACTCTTTTTTTTAATCATTTTATTGGGGCTCATACAATTCATCACAATACATAGATCAATTGTGTAAAGCACACCTATACATCTGTTGCCCTCATCATTCCCAAAATTCGCTTTCCTCTTGGGTTCCCGGAATCAGCTCATCTTCCTTTTTTCCCCTCCCCCTCCCTTCCCATGCCCCCCTCCCCTGTGTACCCTTAATAATTTATAAATTATTATTATATCTTATATTACACTGCCCGGCATCTCCCTTCACCCACCTCTCTGCTGCCCATCCCCCAGAGAGGAGACTATATGCAGATCCCTGAACTATCATTTCATAACTACTAATAAAGAACATAGATAAAAAAAATATTGGTAAAAATACAGAGAAATTGGGAAAATGGCTTTCATGGATATACAGGTTGTATGAAACATTGTTAAAATTTTTTTTTTGGTATCCTTACAGCCTTCTAAAATCCAGTGAATAGGTAACATATAATGTGAAAGAGGACATCTTCTTGTGCACAGTCTCTTCATTGTTAGCTCCTTGACCTCTGTTTGATTGGATTTTTTCTTGACGAATTAGACTTATATTAGTTTATTTATTTTCTTATCTACAAAGCTAAAACTGTGCTGTTTGATGCTAGAATAATGATAAAATTAAAAGTTAGGCTGTCCTAAAGACTTCAGATAAAATGTTGATGGGTGAAGATAAAATCTAGCCACTATCTATGAGTCATAATAAGACTAAGAGAAATAATGTGCTAGCCCAAATATCCAAAAGTGCAAGTCCTATTTAATGAACCATTCTGAATTTGCTCTTCATTTTCTCCCCCATCAGGAGTACCACAGCTGCCAGTTAGATTATAACCATGTCAAGAAGACCTTTACTTCAATGATAGCAACAAGAAAACTGGACACAACGAAATTTTAAAAGACTTCTAAAGGGACAGAGAAGAGTGTTGGATGCGGGAAAGATAAATACAATTCTAGAGAGGAACAGCATTCTAGAAGAGAACTAAGTGCAGCAGCCTCTTCCAGGCGGTTTTCAATGGCTGATTCTGGTTCCAAGAGGCCTCCCGTGGACTAGGAGTAGAGAGACATCACCTAGGCTCGGGCGTTCTTTAGGCAATTCAACTCCAGACTCTGTGGATTTGACTGAAGAACTGCATCAAAACCATATGACTCAAATCGAAACCTAATTCAAGGGTATCCAAAAAGAACAGAGATAAAAATGCACTGGATAAATACTTCTACACTGATTTCAACAGAAGTGCCAATGCTAATCAACAGGAAATGAAAAAGGTTTTAAAGCAAAAATAAAACAAATAGACATACATATGAGAGGTGGGAGTGGGAATTAACCACTGTCATCCATAACACACACAAATAATTTGTAATGGATCATGACTTAAAAGTACAAGTTATGTTGGTAAAACTTCAAATAGAAAGATAAGTGATACAGCGGATTACACCTGAGCTGTCATCCTTGACAGATGCTCAATGGGCTTCCCACCAAAGCTTTAGTCTTCGTATTGCAACATAGGCATGATGGCCACCTGCAAAACAGTCAAGACTGGCTGAGGCAGAGTGGAGTGTGGAGCCCACTGCTTAGTGCAAGTGCTCTCCTGCAGGCATTCAAAAGACCCCCCCAAAAAACAACAACAACACACACACACACACACACACACACACACACACACACCATCATCAGAGTCCATATTGTTAGTGATCCCTATGCTATGTAGGCAATGCTCCCTTTACCCCTGAGGACGACCCAGACTGCAGGAAGAGCGAAAAGCTTTAGCCTCAACCTTGGGTGACCTGGTCCTCTTTCCTAGGCCTTTGCTCTGACAACACTGAAAGCACTTGGCTCAAGTCTGTCTGTCTGTTTGTCTGACTGTCTGACTCTCTCTCTCTCACACACACACACACACACACACACACACACACACACCTCCTCCAAAATACCCTTACAGTTCTCATCTTTCTCATACTTTCCATCTATAACCTTCTCTTTGTCAAGGAAGATGGTTCCGGAGACCAGAACTATGGCCATGTGGCTTCTGAGAGGCAGGAACGAGGAAGCATGTGTGTTGTTCAATGATGTGGCTGTGGACTTTACCCAGGAGGAGTGGAGGCTATTGAGCCCGGCTCAGAGAACCCTGTACAGAGATGTGATGCTGGAAAACTATAGGAACCTGGTCTCCATGGGGATTTCATTTTCCAAACCCACACTTGTCATTCTACTGGAACAGGGAGAAGAACCCTGGAAAGTGGGGAGGAAATGCACGCCCAGTCACTGTTCAGCAGACTCAAGTCCAGACATCCGATCCTATTCCTTCTCCAGTCAGACTTTCGATAGTCAACACGTATGCCAATACGTGCTTTGTGATCGTCACCTTCAAATCCGCACAGGCATGGTGGCAGGACCTCGCCAAAGAGCAGATGCCTGCTCCATGCACCTGACGCAGCAGCAACAAAGACTTCCTGATAAAAACATCTGGATGAACAAGATGGAAGGTCAAGCAAGAGAAAGTGACTCCAGATTTATGCTTGGGGATTCATCGGACAGGGTGACTTCAAAGGCCATCTCTAGTCCCTCCAAAAGACAGCTAATAAGCCCTAAGGAAGGCAGCACGATGATCGACATAAAGCCGAGTCCAGCAAAGAAGGGAAACTCGGTGGAGACAGACAATGGATTTAAGTGGGTCAAAGTCTCAGGATTTAAAGCAATCAGTTGTCAAAATCAGGGGATAGACATTAATCCGAAATCAAGACTCTTCGCACTTCAGAAGACCCCCTCAGGGGAAAAGCCCTATACTTGCAATGAGTGCGGCCGGGGCTGTCGTTACAAATCAGCTCTCATCACACATCAGAGGTCGCATACCGGGGAGAAACCTTATCTGTGCATGGAGTGTGGGCAAGCTTTCAGCCAGAAGTCTAATCTAGTCACACATAAGCTGGCCAACTCTGGGGAGAAGCCCTTTGCCTGTGGGGAGTGTGGGAGAAGCTTTAGTCAGAAGTCAACCCTCATCAGGCACCTCAGGATACATTCAGGGGAGAAGCCCTTTGCGCGTGCAGCACCTGTGGGCGAAGCTTTAGGGATAAGTCTAACCTTATCACACACCAGAGAACCCATTCATGGGACAAGCCATAGGTATGCAGGGACTGTGGAAGACTCTTTAGGGATAAATCAACTCTCAGCAAACACCAGAGGATTCATTCTGGGGAGAATCCTCATTTGTGCAGTGAGTGTGGCCGGAGCTTTGGCCAGAAAGCTCACCTCTTTAAGCACAAGAGGACGCACTCAGGAGAGAAGCCTTTTGTGTGTCCAGCATGTGGGAGAAGCTTTAGTGATAAGTCAAACCTTATCACCCACCACAGGACGCACTCAGGGGAAACCCCCTACACGTGTACAGAGTGTGGACCTGGGTTTAATGTGAAGTCAGCTCTCATTACGCACCGGAGGACACACTCGGGAGAGAAGCCTTATGTGTGCAGAGAATGTGAGCGAGGCTTTAGACATAAGTCAACTCTCACGGCACACCAGAGGACCCACTCAGGGGAGAAGCCTTTTGTATGCAGAGAATGTGGGCGAGCCTTTCAACAGAAGTCCCACCTCATCAGTCATCAGAGGACACACTCTGGGGAGAAGGCTTTTGTTTGTCTCAAATGTGGGCACGGCTTTAGCCAGAAAGCAAATTTGGTCAGGCACAAGCTGGCTCACTCCAGGGAGAAGCCCTTTAAGTGCGGTGAGTGTGCGCGAGGTTTTAGCCAAGTCAGCCCTCCTACGACATCAGAGAACACATTCAGGGGAGAAGCCTTATGTGTGCCAGGAATGTCAACAGGCTTTTAGTGATAAGGCGACCCTCGTCACACATCAGAGAATGCACTCTGGGGACAAGCCTTATGTTGGCAACAAATGTGGGGAAGGCTTTAGGCTAAAGGCACACCTTAATTTACACAAGAGGGTACATCTGTTGTAAAAATAAAATTATGTGCAGGGGATGTAGGCAAGGCTTAAGCAATAGGTCACATCAAGTATCAAAGACAACTTTTGGAGGAATCCCATGTGCACATGGACTGATCTAGATTTGTCGACTATCACCAAACATCAGAGCGCAGAAGAAGGTCTATATCTCTAAAGCCAGGGCTCTCACTAGAGATCAGTTTGTGTCCTCCTCACCCCCACAGACACTTTGCAAGGTCTGGAGATAGTTGTGGTTGTCACCCCAGGAGGCTGCATCTAGTGGGCAAGACCCTGGATGCTGGCAAAAACATGACAATGCACAAACGGTTTCCAAATGCAAAGAAGTGTCCAGCCTTAGAAGATGAATCAGAATGGTTGACTTTTTGGTTTCTAAGACGTGGATCCTCTGTGGGCAACACTGGCTTCAGAACTCCAACTCCATACGCTTGTAAAGCTTTTCATCTTAGATCAGAGAATCTCAGAGGTCTCTACTCAGCCTGCCTCCCACTCTCTTCCTTCACACGCAGGCATGCTTGCTTCTGGCACCTTTTGCATTTTCTCTAAAAACAAGTTTTCTCAATAAATCTCTTGCATATCTAACCTTGTCTTCTTTTTCAGTGGTTTCAAAATAACACCGTTACACAGGGGAAATAGTAACTTTACAGTGAATCAACTTGGCATACCAAACAAAGCTAACTAGCAATATTGGATTAAACGGGCACCATACACCCTCTGATTTTGTTGGTGGTGTTCGGGGTACTGAGTCCATTCTGCATATAGCAAACATATGCACAACCGAACAAACATGGCCAAGTCCTGCCCTATCTTCACACTCATTGCTGTTTGAACTGATTGTGCCACCACTGTGTCAGTCCATCGCCTTAATAGTCTTTGCCTTTTTTACTGACCTTCAGCTTTACCAAGCATGATGTCCTTTCCCAGGGAATGACCTCTCTTGATAAGAGTCATTACAAAAAGTAAAATAAAAGTGAAAAAACCATTTCACTTCTTTGGTATTCTTCCTCCAAAAATGAATATCTTAAAGAAGATTCATTCCACAAAAGTAAATTGATCAATATTTTTTAAAGAATTGTTCTATGTGCTTCAACAATGTCAGAAATGGGAAAGACCCAAAAACGCTGTCTAAAGGAATTTGGCTATGTTCAAAAGATGAGCCACTCTGATGGAGAAAGATGAGGCTTTCGACTCGGGTAGAGATTCACTGTCAGAGAAACCCACAGAGACAGTTTTCCTCCCTCCGACAGAGTCACTAAGAGATAGAGTCCACTCAGTGGCAGTGAGTTTGTTTAGTTTGCTCCTTAAGGGAGACTGAAGAATGATTTATGCGTTTGTATTATAATGCTGGGAAAGTGTGTTGAAAGACCAGGGACTGTTGGAAGAAGAAACTCCTCTGTTTTCAAAGAAGGAAAACCAATGTCTGCTTAGAGCGAGGATAGCAAGATTTCATCTCCCATCTCTGGCCATGTTATCAGGAGAAGCTAGTTTCTAGAACAGCACATCATGCTTGGTACAATAGGTTACTGAAAAAGAAGAAGAAGCTGAATGGCCACAGAGGCTGCAGCAATGAGTTCCACTATGACACCGATTCCGACAATGGCGCAGGGCCTGGCGATATCTTGTTGTGCTGTGCAGAGGGTTACATTGAGTCAGAATCGATTTGGTGGCACCTAACACAACAAAATAAAATGTGCTCACTAAATACAATACTTGATACAGGATTGGATAATGACCAAGAAAAGAATATAGTTCTAAAATCAATTATTGAGAGAAATTGAGAAAACTTAAATATGAATTAGTTAATATTTAAGCATTCTAAATCTTTCTAATTTTGATCACCATTGTGTAGCTATAGAAGTAAATTGAGAATATTCTTGTTCTTAAGAATACATGCCTAGAATTAAAATGACACACACATTCTAACATAAAATTGTTCAGGGAGCAAAAGTGTCCTCAAATTTCTCATAGAAAACTAAAAAAATATACAGAAATATAATTACAGATATGTTTTACAGAGGGAGAGGGAGAGAGATGCAACAAATGGAGTGGATATGAACCTTTAGTAAATTCAATAAAATATATGTGAGATAACATTACAATTAATTTTTACTTTCTTCTTAAGTGTGAAATTATACTAAAATTAAAAGGACCATCAAGAAATGAGAAGCAAAGAAAGGAAAGTAAGAAACAAGCAAGTAGCTCCTGGGATGTTGTAACTGCTGTTGAGTAAACTAATAACATATTACATCTAATTACAGTATGACCTAGCCCCCTGTAGGAGAAATCTAAATGATCATCTCACACTCTGCCAAGCAGAGGAAAGGCCATGCACACTGTGAAATAGCTGTATACGCTATACTCCAACATTGTGTATATTGATATGAATAGAATTAGATATTACTAGGAATGCAAAAAAAGGAAAGAAAATATAACAATCGCAAAAGGAAATTAATAGAAATATACAAGCAAATTACCCAGTGATTAAATTAAGTAGCGGGGATTTTAATCAATTATTATAACAGATTTAAGCAATTTATTGAAATGAAAATTAGTCACTTGATTTCTTGAACCCAGAGTTAACATCAGAAGGGGGTCATTGCTTCCAGTTATTCTTTTTATTCTATAGAACTGGAAAATGAATCACCAAAACCTCATTTATGCAACCATGTTATGAAAGGACACTGCTGTGAATTGAATTGTGTACCCATAAAATACATGTTGTAAAATCCTAACCTTTATACCTGTGATTATAACACATTTGGGAATGAGTTTTCTATTTTGTAATGAAGTAGGGTAAGTTTAAAGTATTTCTTGAGTTAATCTTTTACAAAATATTTTAAAAAACTGATTGGTCAAGCAGAAATGGGAAAAGAAAGTTGTCAAGCCACATGGAGTTCTCCAAAGGGCCAGGAAATGGAGCTAAAGAGACAAGGACCTTCCCTCTGATCCCACCAAGAGAAAAAACATTCCCCTAGAACTTGCACCTAAATCAGAACTTCTGCCTTCCTAAATTGTGAGAAAACAAATTTCTGTTTGTTAAAGGCCTCTAATAATGATATTTCTATTATATCAATGCTACATAACTAAGATAGAATGCGATACCAGAAGAATAGGATATCTAACAAAGTTTAGAGAGATAACAGATGCCTACTGTGATAGGTTTATTGTGCCAACTAGGCTTTCATAGGAACATGTGATCAGAGTTTAGTCAGGTAGCAGCTTGATTGGGGGGCGGCCAAGATTAATAGTTTCTGGCTGGCACCCCATCTCTCTTCTTCCCTGGAGATCAGACCAGCATGCTGCTGCTTGAGCCAGTTCTTGGTCTTGACCATGTACTTCACTACCTTTAGGCTGAGCCAACCCATGGATCATGTCCTAGAACTTGAGGCTCTCTAGAGACTTGCTATGCCACCCTCGAGGCTACCTGTAGGTCAACTCTGCCTGTCTTGCCCAAGGGCAGACTCCACTGTCTGATTCCTTGACCTTGGACCAGCAGCCTGGATGAGTTGAAAGACCTTCTGCATATAAACTGCTCCATGAAAGTGAATTGAACTGAGCCCTCTGTACTGCTGTGTGAACTAATTATCCTTCTTGCTGTATAAACCTATCCTTTTATATATATATGTAATCATAAGTGTCCTGGTTTTGTTTCTCTAGAGAACCCTGCGTAACTCACCTACGATGTGTATATATTTTTGAAGTTGGGTAGTACATAGAATCTGGAAGAGTTATAAGGTGCCTCAAACCAAAAGCCTAGATTACCTTGACGAGACTTTTTGTAGAATTAAGCACATCAGTCAATTCTGGTGAGGAAGCAGAAGGCAGTAGTGAGAACGATACAGAGCATCTCTATTATTTTAGAAAATACATATGACATTGTGGTGGTTGCACAGTTTAATGCCAACTTGATGGAGGAGTGAGGGGGGGGGGGCGCGGAATCTAGCCTGTAGGTCAAGTCAGCTTGATTGGTCCCTCCTGTAGGTGTGGCCTTCTCATGGGGACTCTAGGAACTTCTTCCTCCTTGGAGATGGGCCACACTCTTTCTCTGTTACACATTCCATTGACAAGGCACATGAAGCTATGCTGATGGCAGCCAGAGCCCTGGAGGAGCCACAGTTAGGGCCGTGCCAGTGCTGAGATGTTTCCACAAGACTTTTCACCCACTGGCCTGTGATCTTTCAGCTTTTGGCATCACTGCATGTCCTGCGTAAGTCTGCAGAAGCAGTTATGGACTTGTGTTGGGCATATGGGTTAATATCAGACATAGGGGCTAATATCAAACTTTTGGACTTGATCTGGTCTGGACTGGGATGTTTTCTTAACATACAATTGCTCTTGGATATAAAATTCTCTCTTACAGACATATGAGTGCCTCTGGATTTGTTTCTCTAGTCCACTCAGACTAACACAGACATCAGCAAGAAAGTGGTGCTAGAAATATGGGAATTAAGTGTGAAATACGTCTTTAAAAGAAAATGATGAACATAGATTGGACAGTGGCAAAAAGGGTGAAGCTTTTAATGCAATGACAAAGAATGTTGGTATTACTTTCAAATGTTTTGACTTGATTTGATTTGTTTTGACAGCATTGACTTGATGGCAGTGAGTTTGGTTTTTGAGTTTTAGCCTTGAAACAACAAATACATAAGGCCTTATTTTTATAACCTTTACATGATCATCCAATTTGTATAATTTTGGACTTCTGTATGATCCCTAGCAAAGCTCGCATACAGACTGCCCTATGCTTATTTTATCTGAAATTCGAGACAAATTATGAAATGAAAGAAACTTAGGCCAGGTTAACCTGGAAATGTGTATGTGAGAAGTAGGTCATAGGTTTTCCCACAGCAAATCATTTTCAGACCTTTCTGTTTATTCTAGCAATAGCTGAATAAATCTGCATAAGGGAATTCCTTCCTAAGCACTTGTACCCGAGACAAACATTTCAGTAGATGCACCATTTATAAAACCTGGTATAGGAGACAAGATTCTCTGTCAACTTGAAGTTGCAAGCAATGAAGTGCAACAGTGGGAAGGTCCCAGGAAAGTACTGGGAAAGATGCAACTACCTCTCCGGGCCTAGTAAATACAAATTGATAGATTTGGATAATGATGGATTCAATTACCTCTTACATCCCTAACTTTCCTCAGCCCAGGTAGCTGAATCATCATTACTGTTTATGTGCAGTCCCCAAGACAAAGATTAATCAAACTGTGGTCATAGGAAAAATGATCCTGCAAATGGCAATGTAAAGGACTTGGCTTGCTTCAGATTCTGGCTCTGGTTTTTAATTTGCTCCATTAATTTGGAGAACACTGCTCTCTCTAATCATCTATTTCCCCTCATCTGCAGGCAGTGTTAATAAGATTAAATGACAATACATAAACTAAGAGGAGGGAAGGTATTAAATTAAAAAAAAAAGACATTTCCCTCTTTTCTTTTCTGTCCCAACTTATTTTCTAGCTTTTCTCCCTGATTTAAATAGATGAGATATTTAATAAGTCCAGGGAATGGCTATATTTTAGGATCATTTTATGACTTTGAGAAAGACATACATTCTCTCAGAGTTTCTGTTTCTGCA